TCCCCCCCCCCTCTTCTCCCCGACCCCTCCCCCTTTTTCACTCGATATTCTGGGTTGAAGAATACTTTAAAAGTCTTTACCCCAGAATAACGTAGGGAAAAAGGAGACAAAGATACGTGTCATACAGGCTAGTCTTACAAGAGACAGACGATTCTCTTGTTTAACCAAAGATTTGTATTATAATATCCGTGACTGAGTATTCTGTCATGATTCCGGTTCATTATGGAGCGCACCATTTTTCTCAGTTTAGAGCCAAATGAATGGCAGCCCCCCCAAAAATAAATAAAATAATAATACATAAAACAGAACAAAACCAAACCAAACCAAAACAAAAACAACAAACAAACAAACCAAAAAAAACAACAAAAACAACAAAACAAACAACAAAAACCGGAAGGGGAGGGGTAGGGGGCGTGTACTCTCGACGATATTAAGAGTAATGTTTTTCCTGTCATTTGGGCGATGAGGCGCGCATAGGGCCTAGATTACTTCGCAGCAAAGCGAACTTTTTATGGAGAACAAAGAGCGGGGGGATACGACAGTGCACGATCTTGGTCAGTATAATTCAACAAGTCTATGGGTTTATTTTACTCTCGCAAGTGGCCTAATTTCAAGACCCCCCCCACCCCGCACCTCTATCCCGTTCATTTCCCCTTCTGTTTCCAGTAATCCCATCCCTATTAAGGCCACTTTCCCGTACTTAACCTTTCCTGGCAAGTCAAGAAGCCAGGAAATAGCAAATTTAACGCACAGATTTAAGTAAAGTCCATTAAGCCTGCTCTACTCTGGTGTTGACCAGACGACAAGGACATATGGCTACTTGAGGGAGGCATTTGCGCTGCCAAGAGCGAAATGCTCGAAGCTAAAGGGATATGAAAACAAAAACAACAACAACAACAACAAGTAAAGTCCATGAACAAATCTAAGAGCTTACAGTTGCTCCGGGCAGGCTGGGGGTTTTGATAGTCGGTAGCCGTTCTCGTGCAAATCTCGAAGTTGTTCTGAAATACAGAAAAAAACAACAACAGCATAAGTTTCAAACTTTTCTTTCTTCTTTTTATATGCGCACATGTGCTCTCTTTCAGTCCCTCTTCTACTTTCTTTTTCTTTTGTCTCTCCACATACATCTTCCTTCCTTCCTTTCTTTCTTTCTTTCTTTCTTTCTTTCTTTCTTTCTTTCTTCCTTCCTTCCTTTCTTTCTTCCTTCCTTTCTTTCTTTCTTTCTTTCTTCCCTTCTTTCTTTCTTTCTTTCTTTCTTTCTTTCTTTCTTTCTTTCTTCTTTCTTTCTTTCTTTCTGTCTTTTTTTTGTTTTTTCTTTCTTTCTCACCCCTCTCTCTATCCCTCCTCCCCCTCTCTTTATCTCTTCTCCCCCTCTCTCTATCTCTCCTCTTCCTCTCTCAAACCTCAACAAAACACATTGAAAATTAATTCACCTGCGGGGACATTAAATTTGACAGAATGGAGAACATCGACTGGCATTGAGTAAAACGCAAGATTCTATAACTTCTTAAAAATCAACCGTGATGAAGTTTACATTTGTTTATTAAAGAACCCATAACTTATTTCAAACGGACATAATCAAACAAACTCAGGGAAGATGAAAGCTATTTAAATCATATGCTCCAGGTGTTGACCATATTATTTTATCTCCGTAGGCCTACAAGCTTGAATACATTATTTGAAATAATTTTGAATAACCCTTTGGTCAGTTTTGACTTGATTCTTTAGACCTCCTGTTCAACATTGAGTTTCAACTGTTTGATTGTTTTTGAATTTTTTTCGTAGACTTTGTCTTTTAAAAAATCCCCAAAGGAAAACAATGCACTTTGAAAGGGTCCACGGCAATATCAGCTTTAAAATGCTTTCTTTAATGATTAATCATTACGATTGATTTTAAAGAAACTATAACATTTTGGTTGACATTTAAAAAACTTTACTATTCTTCAACACCAGAGTTGATTTTCTTCATATCAATAGATCTGACGTCCTCTTGGTCGAATTATAGTTGTGCAAAGTTTAGTTGAAATAGATGCTAAGATGAGCTACTTATTAAATGGTGTTGTGTTGAGTCACCAGATACGTTTTTTATGGTCTCTTTTCGTCTCGGACCCCCCCACCCCCCGC